TTTTTCCAAAACCCCAAAACCCCAAAACCCCAAAACCCCAAAACCCCTAGAGTGAGCCCATCCTGGAACTTATAAAAATAATAACAATATGGACAAACCTAAAAACAAAAGTATGTAGTTGGTAGAGAGGCATGAAGAGAGGAAACTATTTTCACCTTCTTTTTGTTTTAGTTGTGATATTTACAATGTTCACCATTATTTTAACCTCTTACTTTGTAGGAGATTCGCTTGAGATTAAACCAAACACTAATTTTAATCGACAGCCTACATTTAATCAAGAGAAATCTGATACTAAACATTCAAATTCGAACAAAGTTGTCAGTCATAATGATGCCATCTCAAGTGCTTCAGAAGATAGTTATTGAAAATAATATAAAACAGAGGAAATCTTCGGGAAGAAATACTCGATTGAGTATCCATAACTCTGATGGGAAAGACTTGCTAATTATGTATAACCAAGATAACCAGAGGTATTCAACTCTTGATATGAGAGATAAAACTCTTATTATCCTGGATAAAAAACATTCAATTAACAAGAAGTCATTTGCACCAAGTCCAGAAAGGTCAATTTTACGAAATAAATCGTTAAATAAAAGGAAGATTTCCTTACAAAAGAAGCAAGTATCCCAGCTGCCCAAAGTTGATCAGGCAAGAGGCTCTCAGACTAAGAATAAAAAGAGTGCTTATAAGTCACGAATGCAAAATTTTAAAAAGAACATACAAAAGAAAAATTTAGATTTCAGGAATATAAGAAAGAGTCTTAAATTTAATAAATCTGTTCACCATGAAGAAGGAGTTTTGTCAAAAACTATGTATCAGACCCCCAGCCGTAAAAAGAAAATATCTCTTTGAAAGACTAATGGTAAAGTTCAGAGGATCAAAAACCTGGCGTCTACTAATTGTACACCCAAGAAGAAACTTTTCGGGACTACAGGGAAGAAATAATCCTAAAAATAGAGATAACTTTGGACTACCAAATATTAATGAAGGGTCAAATTTAAGAGCTTGGTTTGACCTAATGTTCCCCTTCTGAGTTGCCCATTCATTTGGAGGTTGTAATAACTGTAACCATGCATCAAGAGGCTGAGGGTCGAGCCTATCTACATTCGGGAAGAAAAGTAACAAGAAAGGGTTCATATCAGAAAAGTAAGTTTGTAATCCCATTATAATTCTGGAAAATTCATTCCTAACTTTGAGATTTAGGGGAAGAGCCATGGAAAATGCTGAGAAAATTAGAGTTCTTGAGTCTCAAATTGGGCATCATATGCGAACCTCATCATTCCCTTTGAATCGTAATGAAGTTTCTCAATATGAGAAAGATCATAGTAATATGAATAAAAGCATCGATCCAAAAGAAGATGAAAAGCTTATACAAAATTGTCATCAACCAAGGATCCCAGGATTGAATTATTTAAGAGGAAGTAGGCTAGAAGTTCATAATTTTCAGCAACTGCAAAATTTATTGACCCTTGAGAGAACTCAGAGCCAGAAAATAATGATACTGAAAAAGATAGCGTTGAGATCAAGATGAATATAAGCGAGGGATTGTCTCCTCTCCCAAATAAATGTAAGAAGAGTACCCTTCTGATTTCATCAAAATGGCTAATACTTTATAGGTGAAAATCCAAGATTTAAGACATATGATAGCATTTAAAGAACAGAAATTTAGAGTATTTCCAAAGAATACTTTTGCTCCAAATAATTTTCCAAAGTAATTATGATCTTACAATTTTGAAATTTTCATTCGTGAATACGAGATAGAAATTTTAGCTGCTTGCTGGGAAGACTGTAGTTATTAGAGTTTACTAGAACCTTCTTGGCTACTATTAATCCCTGGAACATAGAGTTGAAATTGGAAAGCTCAATGATATACAAAAATCAAAAACCACAGTGAAGAAGGATAGCCCTGTAAGTGTATATTGCTTGGTTCTGCCAATTTACTTTCTCCAAGCTCCTTACAAACTGTGTAGATATCCTCTAGTGGTAATTGGGCACACTCCTGACTTCTTTTGAAGTCCTCCTTTAAATTTAGATTTATTATTTACTAACTTATCATAAAACATTCTTTAACTCTATTCTGAAGGAAAAGTCTCCTGGGTTTTCAGATATCAAATTAAGGGTGACAGATGAAGCAGATAACAGAACTATTGAAAACAACTATAACTTGGAGGAGCATCTAGAACAGAGCAAGGAAGAAAAGGAAACGTCTACCTTAAAAGTATCAGAGTCTTTTAGTTCTTCCTCAGATTTTATGTCTTGAGGTTTTACAACCACAACAGGGCTTAATCTGACTAAGAAAAGTAAGCACTTCATGTTATTTTAGAAATTTTGAAGAGTGATACCTCTGAACAAGAGCAGAATGCCCCCAAAGCAAGCTTAAGACCACAAGACACTTTTAACCACCGGAGAGATAGAATTAGTTCACTTGATGTAAAAAGATCAGAAAGAGATAAAATTGAAGAGGAGAAGGATGAGAGAAGTTTGTTTGCAAACAAAGCCAGGCATCCTGACGGAATTAATCTAGCTCAGGGAATATTAAACAAACCATTTGCCTATCTCCAGAATAACTTTAAAGGTGAGCCAGAACTATTTAAAATAATAGACAAAGACTCTAATGATAGCATTGAAATTAAGAATACCCGGGTAAGTACTTTCTATCCCAACCTACCTTAAAAATGATATTTTGTTGACAATCTCTCCAGGAAACATTACTCAACAAACACAATGAGAATGAGATCAAAGAACAGAGAGAAGGAACTTCTGAAAATACCCAAAAAGTTGAAGATATAGATAGCGAAGAGACAGTCACCAACGAAAGTATCATACTAATTTCTTAATTATCTTAGAGCTATTTGCAGCAAGAAAAGATGAAAAGAGGATCAAATTTCGGCCAGAAAAATGACTTAGCCCTCGCTCATATCTCATCATGAAGGTAGCTATTTTTTATAACTTTAGTGAGTGGAAGCGAGACATGATGATGAACTACCATAACTCTACAAATAATAATCTACTAACTTTTATCAACAATATTTTCATAAAAAGGGGTTTTGGGGTTTTGGGGTTTTGGGGTTTTGGGG